ATCCTCGTTAACTGGTCAGATTCCTCGACAAATTGTTTCCAAGATGATGACAAACTAAATGCACGGTTGTTATCAGTGATCTCTTGTACATTCGACTCACATGACTTTGGTAATGGAGGTGGACAATATTTGTTGGCTTGACTTTCGCTTCGAACCCCATGATATTTATTAAGTTAGATTATGTGATAGCGATCTGTGTAGTGATATCGCATGTGCTTGGTGAGTTGATAATTGTCAAGAAGAAATCTTTCAAAATCAGCGAGTTGCGGATTTTTATGGAACGTGTGAACTCTGATTTATACGTTTTCGACAGAATTCCATTGTGAAGTCTAAGCATGGAGGACAGTTGTTGAGGGTGTTCAGAGATCCTCCGACGATTGTAAACTGCGTTGGGTGATCATCGTTTTCTCAACAAAATGACGGTAAAGTGATGGCATGTCGTTGACTAACTTTTGCTCAACGGAACATATGAAGGTGTTCGCCATTAAAGGACCAATTGGCCCCATTGCAATTAACACCGTCTATTTATTCGTTTAACTTGCCATCTGATTGGAAGCGTTGGTTTCATGCACGGCCAAGTTCAACATGGTGACTAGATCACATTTCTTCAGCTGTAGGTGGTATGTCTTGTTGAATCATTCATTACGTAACGCTTTCTCAAAGAGGATTTTTATTGTTCATACGACTGCAGTGGTGCCTAAATTACTTTGAATTTGTACTCAAGTAAAAGTAGAAGTAATTAACAATAAAACGACTTGAGTAAGAGTAAAAAGTACTGGAGTAAAAAGTAAAAAGTACAAAGTTAAGTAAAAAGTACAAAGTATTCTTAAAGGGTATGAGCAACAAAAAAATATTGTTTCATCTGAAAGAGTGTGAAAAAATAAGCCAATTGGCCGTTTAATGCTCTATTCTATCTCATCTAGTTCCGAAGTTATACGCAAAAATGTGCAAAATATAAATTGCTGATTCAGCACAAAGTGTGACGTCATTAGCTGGGTAAGTATGTTTATTGAATACTACACTGAAGCATAGCTCAGTTATTATGGACCCAAACCAAATGAAATTTTGGATACTGATTGTACATGATGAGACGCATGGAAAAACACTTCTAATTTTGTTGCCAAGGTAACAATGTCGTTCCCAGGCCCCTTGCGCCAATTTTATAAAACAGCTTTATTCATGGTACTGATAAGAATAAAATAATATCAGAAGTATGTGTACCATACCTATGCATGCCAAACGTTTATTTGCATGATAATAATTCGAAAATGACATACACATAGATAAATGCAACTAGTTATTCAAAATCAGTGTAAGGGGCCTGGGAACGACTGTGTTGCCTTGACAACAAAATTAGAAGTATTTTCCCATGCGTCTCATCATGTACTATCTGTATGCAAAATTTCATTTGATTTGAGCTAATAACTGAGCTATGCTTCAGTTGTTCAATAAACATACTTACCCAGCTTATGACGTCACACATTATGCTGAATCAGCAATTTATATTTGCACATTTTTGCGTATAACTTCGGAACCAGATGAGATAGAATAGAGCATTAAACGGCCAATCGGCTTATTTTTCATGCTCTTTCAGATGAAGCAATAAATTTTTTTGTTGCTCATACCCTTTAAAAAATACTTGAAGTACAAAATAAAAGTACTATTGTCTATAGCGTGTAGGGGGGGGGGGGGGGGGGGGGGGG